TTATTCTTTTCTCTACAATAAGGCTTTCAAATAAGTCATGGCTGTACGGCAGTGAAGCATCGATGTTCAACACTGATGTCATGCTGTCGATGATGATGATGATGAAATATAACCTGTTTGCTTTCCAGCCACAACTCGGAAAATAATCATTAAGTCTGGTAATTTGTTCCTGCTGAATGCATTGCCTAAACAAATTAAAATCGCCGTAGTTCAACTCTGAAAAATTGTCACAAGACAAAAAGTAACGCTTCTTAGCAGATTCGCATCAAATGCATAAAGCCATACAAGCTATCAGAGTTAGTCGTACAATCTTTTAAAGTTGATCGCATCATCCTAATGCAACCCGAGCAAGATGTTGTCCGATTGCAGAATTATAAACAGCAGCAGGTGGTGACCCAAAAGTAAATACCAACCACGCATAGTCTGACAAAGACGGGCGTCTTGATGCACGAGCTGGTTTGAGCTCTACACATCCACAACAAAGGTCCTGGTAGAGGCTAGTGCTGATGGGGAAGATTTTAGAGGGATCTTCGCCTCAAAGCTAAGTCCGAAAACACAATGAACGCAGTGCATCTTCTAAGGGGGGTGAATCGTTCAGACGTAGGACCCTCTCGGTGCCTAGGTACCATACCACCCGAAGGAAGCTCGAGGGCTGGGATACTGCCAGGTTGCCCAAGCCTAGACAGGGGAACTCGAGGGGCAGAGATCGGGTTCGAACCACGGACCTTCCGGTCAGTAAATTCGCCCTCTAAGCACTGAGCCAGCTCGCTATGAGCACTTCTTGAAAATGATCACCACAAGCGCATCACTGCAGGATTTTCACCGGCACTTCACGAGGCGAGCTCAACCAAGCTTGCGTCAACAGACGGAGTGGACTTATGTCGAGCCGTCACCAGAGACAGAAACATCAGTATTGGCACTGATACCTCACTGCCGTACAACAGTGATAAGAAGAGATGAAAGGGACCTGGTGCTGGCCTATCGCAAGCATTTTGAGGTGCCTACATCTCCAAATGTTCAGTAGGACAATCTGAAAAAAACTGACAACACGAACGCCACTGACATCGATCAGCCGCCATTTCTTGCAATGTCTCCAGCCAAGCGCAGGTGGGAACACGGGAGCCTATCCTGGGAGGCGAACGGCACTAACCACGTAAAGACTACTCGTATTCTCTTTCACCCTTCTGCCAAGTCATACGCTGTCCACCTCACGATTTGTGTCATTCTGAAGGAGACATGCAGAATAACACTCGTCTCGGTATGCGTAGCATATGGCCGAGCCCACGTAGTTGATAGTGCTGGATGTTCTCCGCGACTGAAGCCCCTGCGGCATAACCGAACACCTGCTCGTTCAACTGTAACACCCTTTCGGTGCCTGGCTGTCATGCCACCCGAAGGAGGCACGAGGGCTGGGATACTGTCAGATTGCTCAAGCCTAGACAGGAGAAGTCGAGAGGCAGAGGTCGGGTTCGAACCACGAACCTTCCGGTCAGTATATTCGCGCTCTAACTACTTGAACCATCTCGCTCAACCGAATGCCCATTTTCTAATCCATTCGTCACGAATTTGTTGGAGTCATCCAACAACAGCAACGCTTCTGGGACATCGGTGGTCAAAAATCTGAAGACACATCATCATCCAGAACCGACTGGACTGACGAAATCACCAAATGTACGGAATGTGTGGATGACTGGTTAGCCTGGGCCCAAGAGCCTGAAACTTCACCAAAAAGTAAAGTAACTCAGCCCTCTAGGCAAAAATGATGACCGCTCAGCTGTAGCACTCTTTTGGTCCCTAGCTGCCATGCCACCCGAAGGAAGCTCGACGGCTGGGATACTGCCAGGTTGCCCAAGCCTAGACGGGAAGTCGAGATGCAGGGTTCGAACCACAGACCTTCCGGTCAGTAAATTCACGCTCTAATTACTGAGCCATTTCGAGCTTCCACTAGAGGATACTCAACAATCATGAAAGATGTCGTACGGCTGGACCTTCCGGGATCCTAGCAAAGACTTCCTCGTAAACGGAAAATGTTTAGCACGTGAATGGGAGTTACTCGTCAGGAAGCATTGTCCCAGGCAATATAGCAATTTATATGCGACTAAACATGTGAAATCACGGATCAATCACAGGCCCACATCGACCTGCCATCGATAACACGAAAAACGTAGCCATGAAATCCATACAATATAATCCATAACGGTTGATTCACAGAAGGAGGATAAAAACCGGGATCGCTTCACAGGAATCTGGACAGAGAGCATAGAAAATTGCAAGTCCTATTAGGAGTAGGCTGGGATGAATGGGACGATTGGAGTTGGTCGACACGCACGACAACTCACACAAACAGTGCGCCACAAATTAGGCTACCACATCTTTCAACTCTTCTGGCAAAGGGTTTTTCGGGTGTTTGTTCTCAAAATGTTGTCTGTATGTCTTCGGATCAGGCATCTGAGTCTTGCAAACCGTGCACTGGTAAATCAAAGCCTTGCTAGCCGCCTTCTTTTGGTCAACGGTGGACTTCTTCAGATCCGCTTGTTTCTTGGCGTTTCGTTGTTGTGCTTGAATCTTTTGCTGTCCTCGAGTCATGGTACAACCTGAAACAAAAGAGGAGACATTAACAGAACAAATTGATTGCGCATTAGATTCCGATATGCATAGATACCCTGCCTCCGAGCGCGCCATTCACAAGAAGTAACCTAAACAGTTCGGCGTTCGCCGATGTCCCTCCCCAACCCCTTCCCACCGCACAAGCAAACGTCGCTGGGCCATTTGACTGTCAGTCGAACAAACAAAGGGCCTTAGGCTCCTCGCTGCCTACAAACATTAAACAAATAACTCAAACGCCAGATTTGACAATAGAGGGAATCAGCTTTATTGGCTGTACAAGCGAATAAGGATAGATATACACCCCAGTTGGACAAGGACAGAGCAAAGCATGGAAGCTAAATAATTTTACGACTTACACATACAGGGCTGAGACAACATGCACCATTTTCATAAGATTTCTTTCAAAACGTAGAAAACTAGACTCCGTAATAAAATTAGGGACCAGCGAATCCAAACAGCCAGTGCTCTACAAGGACCGATTCAAACCAATATCTAGTGCGACAGCGGACTAATAAATATCACTAGCGTATCTAGAAAGGATTCCGTAGAGTTCGGAGCAAATATAGTCATCATAACAGGTGACATGAGCCTCCAAATAGGAGAAGCAAGCCGAGAAGCGGCACAGTTGGGTGGCAGATTCTGAACGGACGCTCGGCGTATGCATAACAGCGAGCGACCAGCGGAGCTGTATGTGAACATCGTCTCTTCCTGGCCAGCACAACTGCTTACACAGGGTTGTTTGAAGGCCACAGACCACAAGCAAGGCATGGACTCCGTTGGATCATGTGGCCGCGAATTACCAATGGAAAGCCTCCGTCCGGTGTACACAACTTCCTACCGACAGTGCCACTGTGCGACCCACAGTATCGGTTTGCTTCCCTTAGAGTGATGAATACCGAAAGGGAGGAATTCTGTTTGTCATAGCTGCTCAACAATATCGATCTGATCTGGCTGGAAAGCTTTTGCGGACACAGCGACGCTAATGGCAAACACTGGCTAAGAGATGGGTAGAACAGAGTTAGAGAAACTATGCTCTTAGCTTTTAGGACTATTTGTCAGACAGACGACCCAATTATATGAACACTGGATATCTCCTAGATCAACAGATCTTTTCGGGGCTGCAAAAACCACACCAGTAACTAGCGACCAGGATGGCGAGCTCAAATACGTGACTTTGATTTGTTCGCATTCTGGCTAATAAGGAAATGAGTTTCTCTGGTCAGCAGCTGATCTATGAACTATGTGGAGCTATGTGCAGTAGCTCGCATCCGTACGCTTTCAGGCGTTTACCAATGGTTGTTTTACTTGATCTAAAGGCTGATTTTGACTCTCAATCATCAGAGATTATAGTGGTGTCGAGCAATCAAAGTTGCTCCTTCTAGATACCCTCCCACTAAACAGACACTGTATGTCTACTGAGGTAGGCGCCTTGAGTCAGGCCTGTGAGTTAAAGGCATTGTTTGTGGACTATTATCGTCCTCTTATCTAGGTCTAAGTGCCTTGGCAGTATCCCAGCTCATGTACAACTATGTCACTTACAAATAACAATACACCCATGCCATGTCGGCCGCCGCGTGGTGCCACTAGCTGGGTCACCATTCACACTGCACACAACAGGGCGGGTGAGCAAAAACAGCCTACTACGGACGCTTCCCTTCTTTCTCTTTCACATACTTTTTCTTCCCCCTCTCCCCACCTCATTAATAACTTTCTCCTTGTAGGACTGAGAACTCCCTTAGTCATGCATCGGTTTTGCGTGCAGCATCTGCTCGTCACATGGCGCCGACAGCCTCAGGTACCTCCAAATCAGTCTCCAAGCCTCAACACCAAGTCTATCTGCCGCGTTCAAATTTTCGCACTCTGAAGCAAGCAGGACAACAAGCTGCCCTTGCACTCACACTGGACTCGCCTGGCATTAATGTGTGCTGTGTCTCCGAAACAACAATTCAAGATGCAAGCATAGTGGTTGGGCCAACCGCCCCATCACTCTCCACTCGCTCCCGCATACCCACCTCTGGTAATTCAGAGGCTGCTGCAGTGGGACGTGCGGGGGTTGGTATCGTCCTGAGTCACCGGGCAGGACTATTCTTGCTTGACTGAGTATCTGTTGATAGTCGCCTCTGTGCGATTCGTCTGGCAACATCTGTGAAAGTCTCACATACGGGGATCTGAGCAATGTCTTACTCGTGTCTGCTTACAACCGAAGTGACTGTAGTCCTGGCACCATCAAAGACATGTTTTACGCCGTCCTGGATGTCCTGTTACGGCAAGCTAAAAGCTCAGATATCGTGGTAGTTGTTAGAGATATGAATGCACAACTGGGCAGACTTAGCGCATCTGAGACTCAAGTAGGAGGTCGAAATTGATTGGACTAGGTACGTACGGACAACGGTGAACGATTGCTTGAGCTGTGTACTAACTGCAGGGTGTCCTTATGCAGTACCGACTTCCTAAATAGCAGAAGTCGTCTGGCCACATGAGGTCCTCCAACGACATGCCGGCCACAAGCTCAAATCAACCACATTGCTATCAGTTACCGATGACGCGGATCAATCATCATCATCATCATCATTGTCAGCTGTAATAACCGCGTACTCGTCGTACATTGGTTGTAGCTGCCGCAGTTTCGTTCACCGATGATTTGGGGGTAGGGGTAGGTAGCTGCGCATTGCAAGCGGGAGCTGGTAAATTGATGCATAAACCCAGCACTGTCAGTGGGCTGTCAAGTTGGGTTGGGGTTGAAAAAGGAGCTATGCATTGAAGGCAATAGCTTGGATGCCCGAGCGCCACTGAGGGCGCGACTGGACCATATCTGACAATGTCTCCAGATATTGATGTGGCCCGTCTCGGGGTCCCCATCCAGGAAGACGGCAGTGACCAGCGCAGCTGAGTTTGCTGGTAATGGCTTTCATACTTCGCCACCAAGTCATTGTTTGACCGCCTCTGGCTCACTTCCACCCTTCACGTGTTTTTGCGAAAAGAGCCCCTCGAGGAAGTCGGTCGACTGGCATACGCAACACGTGGCCAAGCCAGCGCAACCTATGAAGCGTGATCAGTTCATCTATCGAGGGTGAGCTATTTCTCCCGAATACCATTCGACGTACTTCAGAATTGCTGATCCGGTGTTCCCACCAGATTCGGGCAATGCTCCGAAGAC